GGAAAGCTGTAGCATCTTAGATGTTAACTGAAATAAATTCTCCTTACATGACTCCCATGATGCTTTTAATCACAATATACATAGCCGACAAACTCTGGTTTAATCTACTCCTTCACTGTGCTGCCCAGTTCTTGATTTTCAGCTCACAACTCCTTGCACCTGCATCATCTGTTTTGTTAAGGAAATGCTGCTTAAGCAACTAAGAACCACTGAAACCACTGGTTGATTTCAAAAATGCATGTGCCAAAAGGATGGAGAAGATGGAAATACAAGTTCAATGAAAACTGATTTTAGGGAAAGGAGATAAACCAAACAGTGCTCTAGTTGAGTGATCTTGTCCTGCAGAGACATCAGAGGCTCCACAGGTGACACATTCTGCTGCTCACAGCTTCTTGGCCTTTCATATGTGAAAGAGGCAACGAATAAAATCTAACACTATAAAATACATCTCAATGCAGCCAGGTGAACGGAAACAAGATTTGGAAACAACATTAATAATGACAATGCTTGAGTTTGTCATTAGGCTGTGAAATAACAACAGCCTGTTTCTGTCAGTCCAAGAGAAGCACATCTTTTTGATCAAATTAACTGAACTCAAGGAATATCGCATAGAAATTTCCTCAGTCTCCCTTGGTTTTGTGTTAACCCACCTGAGTGGAAAAAAAAAAAAATGATGGGCATAGAAGCAGGTGACATCTGTGCACATCCTTCATATGGCAGCTGAGGCTTGTGGTGGTTTAAAGCTCATCTGTCAGCTAAGTCTGCTTGATCAAATTTTTCATTGTGCTGAATTCTGCAGGCTGGATAACTGGATATCCTTACAGGGGAATCGCTAACTCAGACTACAGTGTCTGGCTTCCCCGGAACATGTTATCTTGGGTTTCAATTTATGTGGCTCTTCCGCCTCTGTCTTTCTGGAATGACCTAAGCTCTTGAGTGCAGGTGCGGCCTTTGTCCTTGGTTCATATAGTGCCTGGCATGCTGAGTGTCCCCTCAACAGCTCACAGATACTACAGGAATATTAATATAATAACTGCTAATAGTCATGAATTGGTCCAGTTGCTGTGGGCAGGTCTACAAGGAGCTAAGGCTCTTCCATCAGAAATTCAAAACACTCGTATCAGAAGGTCAACCAAGACCAATGGGGCAACTTCATTCTGAAGGAGGAAACATGCACTCCAGCGGTGATTTCTAATCAATGAATCAGTCCCTGGAAATCTGCAAGTTCCTTCCACAAAAGACAATGAGAAAAGCCTTATGGCAACAGGCTTACAATCAATACAGGAGGAACTGTGCCTCCAGTGGAAGGCCTTTTTTTTTATTTCTTGTTTTGCTAAGAGGTACACAAACAGTATAGGTCATGTACCTGCAAACTTTGGTATTAACACAGCAAACTTTTAGAAAGCTTTCTTCTAGCCAATATTAAGGTCTTCATGTTCTGATAACAAGCAAGCCTGAGAAGAATTTCCTTAGCTGCCTAAAGTTTATGACTCACTGAAGGGTGATACTCTCTCCAGGAGACTGCAATGGTATAAAACCAAGCTAATAACTGTATTATTGTGCTAGAGCTTCGAAATAGCAACAGCCATCTCTGAGATCCCATAATAATTAATTGTAGCCTTTCCCTTAGCTCAGGCAATAAGCCTGCAGAAAGCTTCCAGCAGATGTTTCACTCCTCACACAGAATAATAGGAACCATTTCCTCTCCCAGGAACACACCGTGTAACCTTCCTGCTGTATAGCCTAGAAAAGTGCAACACTTCTGCAGATTTACTAGCATCTCTCATCACGGATGACACCCTTAATCTGTAGAGTTTTTTAAAACCACCCAGTTACTATAGCAATAGAAGCAATAAACATTATGCCCATCTGGGTCAACGAAGTTTTCATGTGTAATTAAATCAGAATCACAACAGGTGTTTGCCATATACATAGGAGTCAACGGAGACAGGTTGTCCTTCTCTGGTCTTCTTAAATTGCAACTGCAATATAAATGCATATGTCTAAGCTGACTTAGCAAAGATGAGGAAATGTGGTGTAGTCACCCAAGATTCATTCTCAGGGTCCCTGGGCCCTGGAGAGCTTGTGCTGAAGCCTGTTTCAACACATCCTCATTAGTACCATTTGCAAAGGCAGCCAGGCTCGAGCTAGTTCAGGCAAACTAGCAATTTCAGGCAAACATTCTGCAATCATCACCCTGCGTGCAACGCTGGGTCAAGTCAGAGCTAGGGCAACTGAGGGTCCTGTTGTGGAGGAGATGAGAGCTTGTTTTAGTCCATGTGCTGGAGTTGCAGGATCCTGCAAAGCTTGTGGGAGTGCCCTAGTCACCCAGGCTGGCAACCCCTGCAGCTTTGCCAACCTCAGCCACTCTGTGGGACAGAGCCAGCTGCTCCTGCTGGTTCAGAGTGCAAAAGGGAGTTTTGGGGATGATATGTTTCAGGGAAACATGCGACACAGGGCTTTAGGAGGTGCTGTCCTCTGTAAGGGACAACACTAATGCTTAGAGAGGGAAAAAAAGGATGTGCACTATGAATGAATGTCACAGCAAAAAACAATGACAGCTGTCTGGTTGCAGAACAGAGAATTTGGGGCATTTCAGTGCAGGTTTCCAGTTCTATTCAGAGGCCAGAGAAAGAAATGTTTTGTATGTCCCCTGAAAAATAAAAGAGAGGTCTGTTCAGGTTTTTGATTTTGAAAAAGATCAAAATGCCCTGTCTTATTTTCTGAAGTCTTCTCAGCTCTTGGTATCTTCAAAGATACTTAGAATTATATTCACCGATATCCCTTTATATTACTAGGCACACATTCTCTACTGTGGTACAGTGAAGATGCTACACAGCAGGCTTTCAGTAAAGAACACTGTGGTTTTTGCAGTAATGCATGTGTGCCGGTTAGGGTTAGGAAAAACAAACGATAGTTAAGGTTCCATAAAAGTCTTCATAGGATCACAGGATCCTATGGATGAAAGGATAATTCAGGTACAGGGCAACTTGGGAGGTCTCTAGTCCCATCCCCTACTCAGAGTAGGGTCAGCTGCGAGGTCAGACAGTGCTGCTCATGGCTTTATTTTGTCTGGGCTTGAAAACCTCTGAGGACAGAGACTGCACAACCTGTCTGGGCATCCTGTTCCACTGTCCTCAGGAAAACCATTACACCTAGTCTGAACAACTTCTTTTGTTTCAGTTTATGTCCAGTTTTCGTCCTTCCATGACGCACCACTGTGAAGAGCCAGCTCCATTCTCTGGATAACCTCCTTAGGGTAGCGTAAGGCTGCTGTTGGGTGTGTGTCCCCCCACTCCGAAGCCTTCTCTTCTCAGGCTGAACAAGCACAGTTCCCTCCCCATAGTGGAGCATGTGGTTCAGCCCCTGGTCAGGCTGGTGGCCTTCTGCTGAACTTACTGCAGTTTATCAATGCCCTTCCTGTACTGGGGAGGTGTTGTACAAAACTCTGCTGAGTAGAAGGCAATAATCACCTCCCTTGATCTACAGGGATGAGGCTACACTCATGTTAACACAACCCAGGACAGTGTTGACCATCTTTGCTGCCAAGGCACATCACTGACTCACATTCCAACTCACTGGCTACCAAGACCCCCAGTCCTTTTCATCAACAAGTCTGAGAGGAACTAATACATTTTTAGTGGGTGCCTCTTCCTAGATTTTCCACAATTTCCTTTAGTTCCCTTAAATGTCAGTTTATGTTCTCCAAAAATTTACAGTTTCATTAGCTCGTTTAAATCTCCCCCTATTTCTCTGTTGATAGTGACAAAACCCCCCAAACAACGTAAAGCAGTTATGATCAATACTAATTTCTTTTTGTTTTCAGTTCTCAATGGGATCTTTCTACCGTTGATCCTGCTCTAGCCCAGAAACTAATTTTTCTTGAACAAGAAAAGTAAATTCATCAGTTTAAGAACGGGTCTTGAACCGTCACGACCACCTGAGCACAGATGCTCTTCAACAGGCTCTCATGACACTTCTTGGTCATGGTGTGGCCCTGTTCAGATTTAGTTGGCTAAGCCACATACCAAAAAAGCATTAAGGTCATTACTGAGGGTGACTATGTGATACATTAGAAGAGATCTCTCTGCTGCCTGACTCTCCCTAAATGTACTGCCAATGCAGTAGGATCCCAGCAGGTGCTGGCAGTACATTGCCGTAGAGTCAGTAAACACCGTCTCCTCCAGGGCTCTTACTGACCTCAACACTGCTTGACATCTCTAGCATATCACCTCTCCCAGTGTCTCATAATCCTTCCAGTTCAACTTCCCCCTGCAAAAACTCTGAGCTAGCCCCTAGTAACTCATGGCAAATGCAGACAATCCCATGTCCTTACTAAACAGAAACACTTTCAGGTTCTCCCCCTGACCTTCTTTATATAGGATTGTCATGCTCTTTTGCAAAGCCAATAAACCTGCTATCTTGGTGTCTGCCCCCTACCCATCCCATAACTTCACCCCTAGAAAGGTGATAACATGTACCAGATCTGAAATTAAATTTTGGAAGCAGCTGTCAAATACCATAAAAAGTCTCATGAAGCCATATAACAAATCATGAACCAAACTGAAATCTCAGTGTAGCATTAGCATATTTGATCAGATAGTAACTCAAAATTATATGCATTAAAAAGACATTACTGAATTTTCTACCTGCTAGAAACTGTTAATTTGAATGATCTGTTCAGTGTAAAGACCATGAATAATTCACCCCTGTGAACAATTTGAATTATCTGTAAGTAATACTCAGCCGGTTTAGCAGCCATGCATCTTTTTCACTGGGGTTATGGACCAGCTGGGTCATGCCATATTGTATTTATCCTTCTGTAGCTGAGCATAAAGGGTGTGACTCAGCAGTCAAGTTTTTGTCTGTCAGTTTTTACATTTAAACCTGGCACATCTCAGGTATGTGGATTATCCTCTACATTTTTTTGAACATGCATTTTGCATCATTGCTTTGGTAGTCTTAAAAATGTAATGCTTATAATCAGCTGTGAAAGTCATTTACTAAAGAACAGTCTCTGCTCAGAGGAAAAACTCCAGTGCACCATAAATATGCTTGACTTCTTTCCCATTTGGCTGTTTGCAGCATTTGGGAAACCATGACTCTTTTGTGAGAATATGGCGGCATTCCACTGTACTCTGTGAGCTTCCAGTTTACCTAAAATAATGTAGGAGTTAGGTCCTGCATGGAGCCCAACAGAGACAGCCCTCAGTGCCAGCACAGTCTGAAGGGCTCAACAACAGCACGGGTGGAGCTCACTGGTGTTCTCATTTTAAATGAGAATCAAGATATTGTTGCAATTTCCAGTCTTTCCCCCTTGCTTTGGGCCACATTTCAATAAGCCCCCGGTGGGTTTAATTTTCTGCAATGGAAAACATGCCAAAAGCAAAACTCTGTCATCAGTGGTGTGTTGAAAAGGGAAACGGCCCTGTAGCCTCCTCCTACATGATTCATTGTGCTGGTTTTGGCTGGGATAGAGTTCATTTTCTTCATAGTAGCTAATATGGAGCTACCCCCAGCGAATAGGCTGGGGATGCACAAGAAGTTGGGAGGGGACACAGCCGGGAGAGCTGACCCCAACTGACCAAAGGGATATCCCACACCACATGATGTCATACTCAGCATATAAAGCTGGAGGAAGAAGGAGGAAGGTGGGGGACGTTTGGAGTTATGGCTGTTTGTCCTCCCAAGTAACCGTTACACGTGATGGAGCCCTGAGTTCCTAGAGATGGCTGAACACCTGCCTGCTGATGGGAAGTTGCTGGACTGTGTCCAGAGAAGGGCAACGAAGCTGTTGAAGGGTCTGGACCACAGGTCTTATGAGGAGCAGCTGAGGGAACTGGGATTGTTTAGCCTAGAGAAGAGAAGGCTGAGGGGAGACCTTATCGCTCTCTACAACTGCCTGAAAGGAGGTTGTAGTGAGGTGGGTGTTGGTCTCTTCTCCCAAGTAGTTAGCAATAGGATGAGAGGAAATGGGCTCAAGCTGCGCCAGGGGAGGTTTAGATTGGATATTAGGAAAAATTTCTTCACAGAAGGAGTAGTCAAGCATTAGAACAGGCTGCCCAGAGAGGTGGTGAAGTCACCATCCCTGGAAGTGTTCAAAAAACGGATAGATGTGGCACTTTGGGACATGGTTTAGTGGGCATGGTGGTGTTGGGTTGATGGTTGGACTGATGATCTTAGAGATCCTTTCCAACCTTAATGATTCCTAGTTTTTACTTTCATTAAAAAATAATCCAGCCACCAAGCCAGGAAACATGAAATCGTTACTCTACCCTTAATTGTTTTAGTGGTGGACTTGGTAATGTTAGGTTAATGGTTGGACTGGATTATCTTAAAGGTCTTTTCCAACCTAAATGATTCTATGATTCTATGATTGAAGTAGTGAATGAATTCCTTGTTTTGCTTTGCTTTCACGCACAGCTTTTGCTTTCCTTAGTGAACTGTCTTTACCTCAGCTCACAAGTTTTCTCATTTTTACTCTTCCCCTTCTCTCCCCCATCCCACCGGGGGGCAGTGAGCAAGCTGCTGTGTGGCGCTTAGTTGCTGGCTGGGGTTAAACCATGACACTGGTAATGGCAGCCTCCAGTCTTACTGCTATGAAGGATCTATTGTCTGTACCATACCAACTTTGAAATGCCGTGCTGACTGAAAAACAAGCAGAGAGTTACATTGAGATGACTTATAAACGACTGTCAAGTGTGCAGAAGCCTGTAATTTAAGGAGAGTCACAAGTCCTCAGCATTTCTGAAAGCAAACTAACATGTGGCTTTTCCACACCCAAGGCAAGGGGGCATTTGACAGAGAGGATGTCCTGGGATTACTCTCTGCGCTAGCAAGAAACTGGCTGGGAGAGCCACACTGCCATATCAACGGACATTCTGCTGGCAAGTGTGCTTTTGCCAGTGTAGAGCTTATCATGCTTTCAGAACTAAAAACTGTCCTACCAAGGCATGTTTACACCAGCAAAAAAGTGAACCATGCTAGGGCTTTTGCAATGGTAAAAAAATGTCATCTAGAGAAGTCACATCTTTAACAGATACTAAACCAGCAAGGACTTCTAAGGCACACCTTTAACGATTCATCCCATCCCTAGTCTTTCATAACGGGAACAGAAAAATCACAGGCAGCTAGGAAATCCCCTGGAAAGTCCCCCAGGCCATACAGGAGATTAGACCTTACATTTCTAAGGCAAAGAACAAAAGCAAGGGCTTTAAATACCCTTATTAAAAATGTTTTTACACCCTCATTTTGAACTTTAAGAAGATTTGAAGAGTAAGATTTAAAGAGCAACTTAGGAAGTCCCCTGCATAGTACCTTTTCATGAATGAGATCTTTTCTTAGAGATGACAAACTTATCTACACAATGAATTGAAACCTCAGTAAAGCCTTTTGGGAGTTTTTTTACTTCAGTGGCAGGAGGGCCCCTTGGTCTGTCATCATTAAGATCCAGTGAGTCACCCGATACACACCTTGCTTCTCAAATTCTTCAAAGAGATTCAGGCTGGTAATGCTCGGGCCAGTGAAGATGATGTAGTTCTTCCCAGAGGCGTTCTGACAGAGGCTTTTGGCCACCATACTGTGGAGCTGCGGTTTGTTCTTCAAAGCATCCAGCCCATCAGCACCACTCCCTTCTTTGAGATGGACATAAATCTTAAACGAGAAATGGTAAGAAAAGTCAGAAGGTTGTAAGAAATCCAGAGACAGCAGATGCAATTGCCAACATACCTGCTCAGCTCAACTGGAGACAAGCTGAGCACCAAGGCAGCAGATACTTTTTATAAACTGCTAATATCTAAAGCCCTTTTCAAGGGGCTGTTGCTTTAAAACCACCTCAGGTTAGCTGGCACAGCTACCGATAAATACAGTGTCCTTTGCCTCAGCTTAAGGGCTTCCTGAGATTCTTGTCACTGTTGTGCAGTTTGAAGATTGTTTGCTTGGCAGGAAAAGACTCAAGTCATAACTGAGATTATGTATTGTACTTATTCTGCATAGGCTTTAATGCTGCCAGCAAAAGGAGAGCATTGGAACTTCAGTTTAAAAAAAGGCCCCTAAAAGATGATCAGAAGAAAATGGCCTATTAGCTCACTGCAGTAACATTCAGATTTATTTCTGTTGGCAGCAACCATTAGGCTGCAACGCAAGCACATGTGCACCCCCATAAATGAGACAAGCCAGCAATACACGTACTCAACAAGCCAGAACATCCTCATCAAACTCTCCAGGCACAATGCTAATTCTTAGATCCTTTACTTAGATCATGATTTGGAGACAACCCACCAAAACAGACTGAATCCAGAACCAGGGTACAGCGCAATATGCTGCTGTTAATAGGGAAATGCCTGGCTCACTTGTAGCAGGCTGCAGTAGTTTTAGTGTGTAGTCTGCTACTGTGCAGTCCACAATGCTATGCATTTCAGAGCTGTCACCATCATCTGTAGGTGGACATACATATTTGTGTTAGAGTGCAGGAACATTTATCCCTTAGTAATGTGACTAATTAACCAAACACAGTCCAGCTAGTATATCCACCAACTGAAAGAGCACTGAAGTAAAGCTATTCCTTCATTCCTACAAGTGATCCCCCTAGAAGAAGAGTCTTCTGCATTGTCATGGAGAGGGAGAAAGCACATAACCCCTCCTTTGTACACAAGCCTTCGATTTTATTTCAATGACAGTATTTTACAAGTGTAACTTTCACCAAAGTTGAACACCTATTAAAATCAACTATGCATCTGACCTTCATCTTGTTCTAAAAGTCAGCAGAAATAACCTGCTGGAAAGAGAAATGAGAAGCAGCAGACACTGTGCTCAGTCACTCAAACAGTACTGTAACACCATGGAACTTGCAAAGATTTTAAAAACACACACAATGCAAATTTTCTAAAAAATTTGCCCAGGCCTGCTTTTGTGACTTTGGCTCTGAAATACTCAAATCTTTTAGGAATTCCAGAAAGTTTTACCCGTCGGAGAAAAAGCTGAAATTTGCTCAGTATTCAGGCGCAGAGAAAAGGAATTTTGCCTTGTTTGTTCGATGTATCGACAGTGAGCTTTTGTTAAGTTTGCTTCAGACCTCAACCACCCAGAACATGCACCATTGCTTTCCTGTATATGCATCTGCTTCTCTTACCAACACACTCCTTCATAAAGTTCATTACAATGCTCAGAGAACAAAAATGCTCGCACGTTTGCAGTAGTGCTCCCAGTAATTTATATATCAATGATCTTAAAGGGGAACAAGATTAAATTAAACAGCTTCTCCCTATTTTAGATGGTGCATCTCCCAGCACTGGTATTCAAGACATGTTAATGTAATATTCCCTAGCAATTCATGCATCGTGGAAGAGACCCCAAAGGAATGTGTTATGGATGAAATCTCTGAGAAATGAGACACAATTTGTATTTTGAAGTAATTGACATGAACAAAGTTGGTGCAAGGATGAATACACGCTAATTCCAAAAACAAGTACAGCACATATTAAAAGGAAGTCTTAAATATACATTAATTATCTTTAAAAAAAAAAAACCTTTTTTGACAGAAACAGTTTCCAGATGAATGTCTGTAGACTCCCTGACCATGCTCTACTCACTTTTGAAAGCTGTCAAATTTGTGCTTTCCCCAATGCTAAGACTGAGGACTAGCTAATTACAGTATGTCATTTAGGTTATTAATCAGAGCTCAAGAGAGCAGCTTAACAGTGGAATGTATACAAAGGGCAGATTGTTCCAAATTTACAGCAAAGGTATTTCATGATTATTGGCAAGGAAATTAAGATTAGATTACTAGTATGTCAGACATCAAGCCCTTAAAATAGACAGATGAGGCGGTGGAGACAAAAGATGCAGACAGATTAGTTTTGATCCTGGATTAGCAGTTGAGCTGAAAACAAAGCAGAAATCTCTAAGTCTAGGAAAGTGTCCTACACCTTCCCTCCCCTATTGCAATAAGTCTTAGCCAACCAAGAGTGTCTCCTGCTCCATGCTCACTTTGTGCTCCCCACAGAGTATCCCCCAAGGGATGCGACAGTCTGCTGGTGAGCCAATTGGTCCCTAACCATTGGGCTGCCTTGGGTCTGCAAGCAGCTACTTTGAAGCACATGCCCACCATGCAACTGTCTACTGAGATCACTATCTTCCTACTAGGATGCCACACACTCCATAGGTTTTGTTAGCAAAGTTCCCTGTGCACCTGGCACCGTCCCTCTGCACTCCCCTCCGTCTCAAGGGTCCTTGTAACGGCCACCTTGTGATTCTCATCCCCCTTGCTCTGTTCACCTCCCCAATGCCCCTTACCAAAACATCCATAGACACTACTGAACCTTCCCTCCTCCTCCAATGTTAAATATATCCCCCTTTTTTATCCTTGCGCATTTTCCTACCTATCCAAGCACAGCCTTTGTTCCTGGCACAATTTTTCTCGTTTTGGAGAAGCATCATTCAAAGCTTTATCATAGAATCATAAAATCATAGAATGCTTTGGGTTGGAAG